GGGCTACCCTAATAAAACATTTTTTTCCAATTTTTATTTTACCACTTTGTCAGCGTGATTGATACACATATTGGTACCAAATTTCAGCTTTCTAGTGCTAACGGTCACAGAGATTAAGCGAGGACGGACAGACGGACAGACAGACATGGCGAAACTATAAGGGTTCCTAGTTGACTCCGGAACCCTAAAAACGGCTCGACCGATTTTGGTGAAATTTTTTGTGTGTGTTTGAATGGGTCTCTAGATGGTTAACATTCACATTTGGACCCGGTATGTGCCACTGTTGTCTAAATCCAGACGTTACGCCTTACGAAGCCGCAGCTTGCTACTATTACAGCAGTATAATAATAACTAGTAGACATGCGCAAAATGTGTCAGTGAAAAGAAATGAATGAAGTATATCTTTTCGCTCTATGAAGTAGTCCACTCATTTAGTTCAGTACTTCATTTAGTTCAGCAAACCAAAACGAGTCCGTAACCCTAGGATATCGAGCTCGCAAGTGTGATTGATGAGTGAGTTACGACGAATGATGCACTTCACTTAAGTAGATATGTAATTTATACGTTAACACAAAAATATAGCTACTAGAACAGTGAGAGTACGAATTCGTCTTTTTGGGTCCTTTTTCCGTTAAATAGTTCCACCACACAGTACTTTCCTTTCTATCTATATTGTCACTTTTAGTTCAATTAATCATTATATTTATAAAACTGATAGAGGGTAAATACGATAACACAATTTTAGCTATAGCTACCTACAATAAACGTAACGCACCGCACAAGTCAACAAGTGCAGTATTATGCCGGCTGTACACGCTCGTCGAGACACCACGAGACATGCCTAGAGGTGAGCATTATTTAACATAATCGGTTTCAGAAACTGCTTACGAGCTTGATAATCGTATACCCAGTTTCGTGGACAAAATGTAATGATTATTTTACGTACGCAGTTGACACACACCACGACCGGCGCTCGCGTAAGCGTTTCGTTTTGAACAGATTATTATTAAGATGAATATAGGTAGGTACGTAACACGATATACGACTCGCACAACGAGAGTAAAGAGTCCCTTCGGGATAGTTAATGGCTTACACGCAAGATGTGGATCATAAAAATTATGTGATGTGATGGAAAATAATACTTAGGCACTTACATATTTTGTGACCATAAAATTGTACAAAAGTACTAATATTGACGATGTCACGCGCATATTATAATTATAACACCTATAAAATGTTATATATTCGTAATCATAATCATAACATAACACAGTTAAACTAATGTTATAATACCTATAACCTGTTAATATTTTTGTAATCATAACCTAACACAAACACAGAACTAACCTACGCTATACTGTATTGTATACAGATATATAATATATAACGTTGCCAGGCGTCCGGATAAAGGCGGACACAGTCAGGCTTTTTGTTTGCGTGTCCGGCCAAATTAGACGGTGTTCAGGCCTGTCCGGCATTTGTCAGGCTTTTTATATTTGACCATTTTTTTACATTTTTCATGTACTTAAATACATACTACCTATTGCAATTTTTGAAACTAATATTGTAATGAATATTGAATGATTAATAATAAAGAACACTGATTCTTTTAATTTAAGATTTTGTAGTAAATGATATAAGGTTAGCATTGTTTTACTTTAAAAAATATATTATCGTGTTATACTAAGACTGAATAATTAAGGGTGTCCGGCCTTTTTACCAAAATGTCTGGCAAAGCTGGATGGTCTGTTCGGCTTCTCGGTTTAAAGACCTGGCAACCCTAGATGTATGTAGCTCATGGCGGCTGAACACGCTCATCTCGTCACCTCGTGTGCCTCTCGTCACGTAAAGGCTCGACGGAGAACACACCATGTACACACTCGTTGTATCATTTGAAGTTTGAACTCCATATGCCCGCTTGCTGCGTTTTGCCTTTGAACTATTATATTTTTTACACATTTACTAAAAATAAAATTAATAACCCATTGCTAAGAAGGAGGTGGTGGATAGTTTCTATTAATTTACCGTAACAGTACCATGTACGGTGAATAGAATAGTGTATAGCTTGCGGCTTGCGCCACGAAAGATGAAGTGCGATATGACATACGGGGAAGCGAAACCATAGCAACGGGCGACGCCCTAGCTCCAAGTAGTGTCTCCCTGCGTCCAGTCACCCGCGCACATACTTGTGTCGTCTTGCGTACTATCGATATCGAAAGTGTTAGCGACTACCTGTTATACAATATTTAAAAAAAATATATATATAAAAATAAAGTAAATAATTATTCAATAAACCTGGCACTTAAGACATAAATATTGATATCGGTATTAAGAGTATGAAATATTTTATGAGATTTGTAAAACTTAGCAGGATCTATTGAAAGATGACTGTAATTATGTAAAGAAAAAGAGAGGTTCAACTAGTCCCGGAAAAAACACATGTTTCTTCATAAATTTAAGTACATATATATTTTAAATGAAATTAAAAAAAAATCAATAATATCATTAAACACTGTATTTAATAAACTTTCTTACAGTGTATTACACTTCTTTATACATTATCATCAAAAAAAAAGTTATTAACAATAAAATCACGTATGTCGTCTTGAGACAAAACAGAAATAACAAATACAAAATATTTTACCTCTTTAACTAAGTGTACACAAAATACAGAATATTCTTTAGCAGCAATTAAAACCTAACGATTATATATAAGTACGTTTTCGTAGAGACTTTGATGTGTAGTTATAATGTCGACCTTTGACTTTTTACATATTAAAATGTCATAATACAGTTTGCATTTTTCTGCTTGATTATACATGTTATACACGTTAAGTAATATCATCATTCGCTCTCGGTTTTCATCGCGATACCTACGAGACCCTTTGACTCGAGCGCAAAAAACCGACACGCTTCCGAGAGCGCACGAGGGACACGAGACGCGACGCGACGCGACGAGAGCACCCTGTACACACTCGTACTCGCCCTGTCTAGACATGGGTCGTAACGTCTTGGACGTAATCGGTTGTACGTAGTTTCGTGGATATGAGTAACTAGTTTCAAAACTGCTTATTTTTGTAATTAGTTACATATGTATACAGTATAGCGTAGGTTAGTTTTGCGTTTGTGTTATGTTATAATTACGAAAATATTAACATATTATAGGTAGGTATTATAATATTAGTTTAACTGTGTTATGTTATGATTACGAATACGTAACAGGTTATAGGTATTATAACATGTGCGCGACATTGTCAATATTAGTACCTTTGTACTTTTTTATACAGTCACAAAATATGTAAGTATTTAAGTATTATTGTCCATCACATCACATAATTATTATGATCCCCATAATACACAAAATTAACTTAATACAAAAAATATTTATTATTTATTTACACCAATTATATGTCTGTTTATGTACACTAAATATTTATATACACTTTAAATGTTTATTCACAAAGAAAACTATACATGTTATAATATTTATAATGAAAAACGCGAAGTTTTTAAGAACAATGTTAAATAACGCTCGCCTCTAGGCCTGTCTCGTGGTGTCTCGACGAGCGTGTACAGCCGGCATTAGACTATTAGTGCATTCCGTTTCCGTTTGTCCTCAACCTCAAGTCGAACTCAACTTGTGAACTATGCGAGTAAGGAATTCAAATTCTAAATTATTACACTTTATCTCCACCGCAAAAAGCTCAGTTTTGATTGCAATAGCAATGCTACATAAAGAGAGTTGTCGATATTGCCGATCCTTCGACGTACATTTTTGTACGCTAAATTAAACTTTATTGGTATAAACAGAAAGCTCATATTAGTATGTTTAGACTAACTACACTGTTGCATAATATTATTTGACCTTTCGTGCACGTGTGTCGTGTAGGCCTAGGCAAAAACGCCCCGCTGCGCCGCGCCTACACGTCGGCCGGCCAACTCCAGCCGAAGCCGACCGGCCGGCGCCGAAGTGACACGAACGAATGACGAGCATGTGCCAGTGAGTGGTGGAGCGAAAAGAAAGGCTGAACTAAATGAAGTAGAGACACATTTTTAATGATACTGAATGAATGATAAGTTTATTTTGCGAAATGAAGTAGTTCATTTCCTTCAATCGTTCGCGAACTACCCATGTCTAATAACTAGAGATCCTCTAGTTACTTTTATACTGCTGTTAAGTGCTGATTTATCAAGGTTCGTTGGTGCCTGAAAACATCATGATGAAACCTGCCGAAAAAATATTCTAGGAGATGTGAAGAACGCTAACACGCTTTGGAATTGAGCAGCGCTACAGACTAATTGCTCCATAACCCTCAAACGTAGCTTTACTTTTACTATTTACAAATATCCGAAAAAAAAACATACATACACGATACATGGTTCCGAATTTAATCAATCATTTACCAATATCTTTTCAAAATTAAATTAATCATAAAAATATTAAACAGAAATTAAAAAACTGTTATACGAACTGTATATATCAGACTTCAGACTTAAAAAATAATAAAATTAAATACTATAATCCCCACTAACTATATTTCCTATATTGACCTATATGATATACAACCTAAGAATAATCATTATATTCGTTTACTATTAAATATAAGTAACTAACTAATTGATACCCCTCTGTATACGCAACGCAGGAACGACCGGTTTTTAACGCAGTGAAGTGGGCGGTGGTAAGACTCACACCTTTCTTGTTCACTATAAGGTTACTACGTATGTATTGCCGATTTACCGCGTGTTGACCGTGCCAATTGCTGCTTAGTGTTTAATAGTGTTGCGTTAAAGATATTTTTGTAGATTAAGGTGTAGCTCATATTTAAAAAAAATTTATGTCGGCGGTTTGTAGTACACGGTAAAGTTTTTCATTAATCTTATGTTGTACCATATTATATCCTTTTTATCATGTATAATATGTTAAATAAATAAATAAAAATATAAAATGATAATAGAATTCCAATGGTTTTTCCCCCTGATATTTAAAAAAAATTATTTCATTTGTTATTTAATGTCTTAAGAAAAGCAAGCGCTTGACGTCTTGAAGGTAGACATTGGCCAAAAGCTTCCAGCAGCAACGGTTCCTGCTCTACCGCTTGTCTAGAAGAAAAACAAGTTTTGTTAAAAGAAGCACCTTGTGTGGGTAGAATCCCTATCTCTATCCTTAGAATCTTATCCCATCACTTGTGGTAGATCAAGATCTATTGATATCTAATATATATACTGGGTTTTTCAAAGTATAGCCAAATTTGACACTTAAGTTCAAATATATAAATAACGATATACCGTTATTGCAGTGTTTGAAAATACGAGTAAATAAGGCTACTACTTTTATTTGAAATCATGCGCGTGCGCGCGCTCATCTGTGTGCGACTCAATTCACAACGTTTTTGCTAACCGATTGACCCTTACGAATGTGTGGGTGCGTAATAAAATAGTAGACGTTAGAGATTTATAAATGACAATCAGTTAAAATAATGCATTTTTTAAGTAATGTTTCGTGACCATTTGCTTATGTTATTTATTCCGAAACTTCTCTGCAAATGGGGCCCGTTGCAAAATAAATAAATAATGATATATAAGATGGAATCTGATAGCTGGCTATTTAATTATATCGTATTTACACTAGAGGTAAAGTTTGGTGACGGAAAGAAGCGCCGGTGGTGCTGAACATCTGGTATTGCGATAGACAGTCCGCCTGCCAAGCAAGGCGATTAAAAATTCTCTCTGCTCTTAAGTCTTCTTCTCCGTAGGTCCATGTCAAAGCCTCTTAAGTTTTCACTAAGAGTAAGCTCGAAGTAAGTTATTTTCTCATGTTCTTGATTATCGATTGTAGAAAAGCTTAGTGACGGTAATTGTACCCACTCTATCATCCAATATGTCACCTATACATTTTCAAACGTCAAACGTTATACATTTTCGCCACCCACTCCCATCCAACACGGGTGGGAGTGGGTGGCAAAAATTTATAACGTTATAAACAACTTCTAGAAAGTTTCAGAATATTCTAGATTTCTATTTTTAAAACAAAATTGAATCATATAATCCAAATTTTCTAGTTTTAGCAGTGTCATTTGTTATAAGCGGGCTACATACGACACGATATCGGTGGCGATCTAGGGTGGAAAGAAATCGGGGCTTTTATCGGGGTAGACCTTACACACGGGCCTGCCTAGCAGTACGCGTTCGGACTTGGAGCGGAATGCATATGCGGTAGAGTTCTTCAAAATACCTCCGACTCTCTTAAAACACCACCGTGTTGGTTTGGCATTAGCCATCTCGGTTAATTTATTCGAAAGTAGAAAAAGAGAAGTTGCTGGGTGAAAAAATGGCTCCAAAAGAGATAAAAATTAAGCCACATAAACGTACTAAATGGCATGTAATCCAAGGACGTGATTAATTTTCTCCGGATGGATGAAGACAGTTTTTATAACCTTCTAGAAATGATTTCGCCATTTATATAAAAACGTCAATTTCTCCTACCTATGCTATTTAGTTATTTCTTCTCTTTGTTCATTTCTGCTTTGGTCAAAATCTGGTTATGTATTACACACAACAAACAAGGAAATAAAATACTTTTGTATAATATGTATACTTTTTTTTAATGTAATCTTTATTTATGGAGTAAAACTATCAGAAAATAAAATAGCTTATATCTTTTTTTTAAACATAAAGAAACCTTTAATTTCGGACATACTCCCTTTTATATAACTTGTTTGTTGATGTGGAGATGGTGAAGGAGTAAAAGTTAGTTGTTGATAAGAGGATGAAGGCACGTAAGAGATCGAAGTGTGGTCTTGTGGAGTTGTAAGAGATATGAGTGCGGTCTTGTGTTGATAGCGTTGGAATAGGAGTTAGTTGTTGAGGAGAGGCTTTATCTTCTCCTTACTTACATCATACACTCTACTTTACGAACGGCAATAAAAAATTAGTTTAGTAGGCATTCTTGACCATGTCACTTCGCAGGGTCACAGGCTAGGGTGGATATGATTTGAATTTCGATAAAATTTCAATTAATTTATTTATTTTATTCACTTTTTTTTTTGGTTTTTTGTAAAATATCAGTGCCATAGGCTTCTACTCCGTTTATATGATTAAAATGTAAAAATTTTGTTATATAAAAAAAGGTCATTCAGTATCACTGTTTTGTTAACTTCCTTCCGCGAGGGTTGCCGGCAGCGACTGCCAAAAGAAATCGGGCCGATGCGCCTACACACACGCAGTAAGGAGGGGGCGGTGCCCCGATCTAGGAAGCATCGGCTGATCTAGGAAGCATTTTTGCTCCTGCCAGCCGATTAAGGAGGCGATATCGGCCACGACTTAGGATGGCCCTACATACGACACGATTTAGAGGCAATCTAGGAGGCATCCCCACTACTCCACCCTAGATTGCCACCGATATCGTGTCGTATGTAGCCCGCTATAGGTAACCTGTTCGCCAAGCGAGCGCGCGACATGTTATACTCCCGTTCGCTCGGGACCGTAATGGCGGGAAAATTTGAAAATTAGCAAATTTTTTGCTATATTGCAAATTTTGCTATATTTTCACTTTGAGACAATATTTATGGATAAAACTTACAGGAATTCTTGTTGAATGTATAAACTATCGAATAAAATTATTTTTGGTTGCTAGAAATTGTAATAAAATACGTAAATTACCCTGTATAGCATAGTAGTGGTATATACTTCAATTTTAGTGACAAAATTACTACTAATTTGAATTCTACACTTTTGTTTTTAGAGAAATTTATATGAAAATGTTTGGAAATATGTATATTTTTATGTTTTATGTGTTTCCATTCGTTACTCATACCAAAATATTGAAATATAAAAAATTAAAAAAAATAATAATATTTTATCTGTGTGACATTTAGAACAATATTTCTAAAATAGTTTTGTGTGAATTTGAAATAAATACAACGTCAAGTTATTTGAAATATGTAAGAAAACTATTTTTACTTACATTTTACACTAAAAATAAATGAGAATTTGAAAAATAACACATTTATGACCCAGCCGCCATAATGGGCCTTCCAGATTGTGAAGCACTTTTGGCAATTTACTTTTCACTTTTTATACCACAAATTATATATATATGTGTTCACTATTTTTGTCTTTGATACTATTATCTATTGCATAGTGTCTTTGGTTTTGTTTAAAACGAAAAAATAGTTTTTTCATAGGTACACATGTTTACATAATTCTGATCAAATTAGATCACAGCTTGGCGGACGTAAGGTAGGTATTGTACGATCAAAAGTGCGCATGGCTTGGCTTACAGGGGATGAAATACGAGCACACAGTCCACCTGATGGTAAGTGGTTGATGTGGCCCATAAACATCTACATTTATCCCCGATTAGATATCAAAATGCAGATGCGTTGTCACCCGTGAGGACTAAGATGAAATGCCACATTTCCAGTAAAAAGTGTCTTCGGTTCTCCACACTCACATTGAACTGCTACTTTACGCTGGTATTCCGTGAGAGCGTGGTATTTCCCCGGTCGAGCCGATTCAATCGTGCTACAACTATATTACTAATATAGCTGCAGCATGGCTCTACCACGTAAAACATATATACATAGCTTGTCATTTAAAATAAAACAAATCACATGTGTATTTGATTAATAGACTGCGCTTACTGTTATTCCCAAACAAATTATTCAAAAATTATATAGGTTTTGAATAGCACGGGAAGAGGAAGTGACATGAGTGTCAACTACGACAACAAAACTAAATAAAAACAAACATCACCATTAATATGAAAAAGTCCAAATTAAGTAAAGAATAAGTAAATTAGAATCAGGCGTTACTTTGCGGAAATCCGTTATTACCTTGAATTATAAATTGTAAATAAAATGATGTGTTTTACCTGGTTTCAAGCAACATCATTTTCAACCACAAGACAGACTAAAAAAACAGTCATTAGTAATAAACCAAAGAATAGCAGCTAACTGAAACCTATTTTTACAGATGTTATCGTATTTAATTTACTTATTTTTAATTCCCGACGTTTCGGGTGCTTTACAGCAACCTATGGTCACCGATGGACTGAGATGATTGAAAAAAAGGTAGAAAAAGAAAGACGCCCGCCTACCTTTAGGTTTCGAATATTAATTTTTGGTTCGATTTACGCAGAATGAGCTTACAGTATCTTGAAGTCTTGCAATAGTATGCTTGGTTTTGGATTTAATTTTGTTAATTATAGAATCCCAAACAGATGGTACCACCCATCCTTCTCTATTGAATTGTTGATTTTTTTTTTTAATTATTTTATTAACCTCGATTTCAGTACCATTAGTTTATTCAAAAACCAAAGCTAGCCGGACTAACTATGACATCGGGACGTTAAACATCTCAGTAAATCAAACGCGATAAAATCCGTAAACATAGTTTTATTTTAATGTATAGTATTCGTGTATACTTATATATCAGAAATCATTAACAGCCGCCAATTTATCGTTGTACTAACCTATAATCATCCAGAGACACTTTCCCATCTTTATCCACATCGAGCTTCTTCAATACCAACTCCACCAGATCTCGCACACCCTCATCGGGATCTTCATCGCCTGGCTGCTTTAAAAGGGAATTCCTGTAAAAATTAGAACTTTAACCGACATACACCGGATGAGGACGACGATGGCATCCTATCGTGATAACACTGATTTTCTCTGATTTTGCTCGCATGGATTCGAATACTATCCTTATCATCAAATGTTACATTTCTCAATATATTTATGTCACCAACGCCACCCAGCGGATGATACTCGAAGAAAAGGCTCACAATACTAGACTTAGCAGTTATCAGTTTTGAAGATGTTAAATAATAATCAACAAAATGATCCGCGTAATAAGACGATGTGTCTTACCTATTTTCAAGAGCACCTCCCGTCCTACCTTTTTGTGCACTATCTACGTCACCACTAATCCGAACACCACCACCGTTGGTAATACGATATGTGTCTCGACTCTAAACGACGCATCCTCAGGTGTAGTAGACTCTGTCGGTGGCTGGGCGCTATATCATTAATTATATTTCATTATTTTAGTTGGCAGTGTCGCAACAGCTACTGAAAAGAACACTACGAAATAACTGGAAAGACAAACGAACTTAGCATCCCCCTAATGTTAAATTGCTACCGCAGCTCATCAACACCTGCAGCTGACATCAAACAAAGAAGATTTCACCTGTGTTGTCACCTCTAAGGACTGAGATGTGACGTCTCACAGCGTGTGATTGTACTGGCTTTTACCCTTCCCCTAACCCTTCAGACCGGAACACAACAGTGCACTGTACAGCATTACTATGAGGCGTCATAAATTGGTAATAGGATGCTACCTACTCATAGACACCTAACAGAAGATAAGAGTCCTAATACCTAAAATGTTTAATCAAAATTATACATTAGTTTTAAAATCATAAGGTGGGTCTACGCTAGATGAGCCGAGCACAAGGTAAAGCGGATCACGAGCCGAGCACGTCGGAACGAGCAGATCGTGAAGTGTGGACCGATCTACAAGCCTCGAACGAGCGCGCTTCGAGCGTTTAGTTCGTGCTCGACTGTGCTCTGCCTATTGTCGGTGTTTTGACGAACCCAAAGGGTTTTGTCCACACTTGACACCGCGAGTAGAGCGGCTCAGCTTGTGCTCAGTTCGCGCTTGGCTCCTCTTGCGTAGACCCACCTATAGAATAAGTAGAAGCTAAATCGTAAGGTCTACAGAATCTACTCACTTCAAGAGCAAAAACATTTCGTCCCTGGTGATGAAGCCGTCAGCATTCAGATCATACACAGAGAAGCAGTGCATCTGTCTCTCCTCATCCGTTCCTCTCAACAACTTGCTGAGTCCACGAGCCCACGCTTCGAACTTGATCGCCCCCTCTCCACCGCTCGCCCCCCTTTCCCAAGTCGCCCAAACCCTCTCCAGCACCGTTTCTTCCGTAACCAGATCGAACGTGTTGTGCATTAAATCTCGGAATGTGCATTGGTCTATACCCTGTCAAAGACATGCCGTCATGATTTGGTAAAGAGCAGTACCGTTTCCGAGTAGCGGTGATGTAAAAATATCCACTACCCCATATCATCCCGTTGGGATCATAAGAGGCTACACACGTAAACAAATGAGTAGACGGGCAGCAGCGTCTTCCTAATAACGACTAAAATGGCAAACATCCCCCTGAGGTAATCTATGGGGGAGGCCTATGTAAGAGCAATGGAATTTAACAGGCTGGAACAGCAACGGTGTATATATAATTATATATAAACCATAGTTTACAGTCAGTGGTATTCCATTTATACGGGTGTTTGTGAAACGCTTCCGAAAACGAAGACAGTCGATAGTACTAAAGGAGATTTTTGATAAAGGAGACTTTGATGATGGGACAAAAAGAAAATCAATTCCGATGAAAAAAAAATCGTTTTTTTTACAACGTTTAATTAGCTTTATTCAGCGTGTTACTACAGCTAAGTAAAACGATAATTTCATTGAAAAAAATCATGAAAATACCTAAACATAAAACCAGCAGTGAAAATTAAACCTGAAATAAGCTGATTATGGGGTCAAAAAACGCGCGGACGCTGAACTCTTTTTATTTAGATCGGTCACAGAATAAATAATAGTACTACGTACAAAAGTTGCACTCCTTCGATGTCTACTGCTTGCCGACGTTTAATAGCCTACATAATTATTATTAATCAGATAAATCGCGCACGCAAGCTAAATAAAACTTTATCGCTGCGCGTTAGTATCCATAGTACTTTGCATATTTTCCGCTTCCTAAGTCACGGCGGATTTTCGGTGGTTATTAAGGGATGACAATAGAAAGTAAAAAAATACATTGCGAAATGTTAATTAGGTTACTTAGGTGAAGTACCAATTCTGACTATGATCGACTGACCATACTTACGCTCCTATGTGAGTTCTGCGATGCCTAACACATGCAAATTGCAAGGTCATTCGTCGGGAATCGCAACGCTTTGTTCGGAAGAAATAGGTAGATAGTGTAAACAACAAATAAACCTGAAATACGATTCCAAACAGAAATGTGATCTATTCTACTTACTTAAAAATCTTCTTAGTATACAAAGTTTTAATTTCAGTATTTTGTGTTATTATAACTTAAAATATTTTAATTACAAAATACAAGTATAGGTATGTATGTAGGTAAATACTTGGATAGTGAAGTAAATTTTAACTAATTCTTGTAATAAATTACATAATTATTTCTTCTGTAGACCAAATTATTACTTAATTTTTTTGCTGTAAGTACCTATCTAACAAAAAAAAATTAAATAAATTCACCTTTCATAATTTCCTTCTAAAATTCTTCGATAACTTAAATAATGATAATATGAAACCTTTTGTTGGTTATTTCATTTAGTATCCATCTACGCAACACTTATAGTAGGAATGACGTTTTGCTATTATATCATATATCAAATAGGTAATATACTTACATAATATATAATTTTTAAAATACATTAAAACTTTTACAACTATTTTTACCTACAATTAAATATACTAAACACTAAACAAAAACTACTTCAACAAATATTTACATAAAACTATTTACGTAAACAGCATTAAAAAACTTTAACATTCAATCGCCTAGAATGTGCTAGCCCTGACTGCGTTATTTCGCCCGGGCGCGTCGCGATTTTGGGTAATTATTTCACGCAGGTAGCAAGAGTGACAGAGGCCTGGCTCGGTGCGAAACAATGCAATAGGTATAACTGTATTTACGCTCACTCTACACTTCCCTTTCACACACGCGCTGCCGCCACCCGGCAGACTCGTGTCGCCTCGCGATTTACACGTGTTCAGCATTGGCAACATGTGGGAAATTCCCCAAATTACGGGGAATTTAAAGTTGGTTGGGGATTTTTTGGGAATTGGTATTAGGAATATGGATTTTGAAAATCGATTGCCCGGGCCAAGTGAGAACCTTTTTTCAAGAAATATAAAAACTTATCGTCTTTTGTTGATAATTGATATTCCTTGTTTCTTGTTCTTGCGACGGTATCATAAATACGTATAGAAAGAGAGGATTTCAGATGTTTTGGTAGTTTTGGTTTCACACGGTACACAATTCACATCTAGATATAATTACCTAAAGCAAAAAGGTCGAATTTTAAATGGTTAAAATTGTCTAATTTTTAAGTTTGTGTAGTTGTGAGAGTTGTCAAATTTAAATGATCTTTAGGACGATAGACACAAGACTTGCATTTGTATGATCATAATATATTTGGTTAAGGCAACTTTATGTTTATGTTTTTTATATTTTGGATGGAAAGTTCAGAATTTGCTTTTTTTTAAAACGCAACAATTACGCACTTGGTCCTGGTGGCTCGTGCTCGCGCCGTTCGCAAGATAGTTATTAATTTTAGATGTAGCGTTTGTGCATTTATTTGCAATATTTGTGTGCATTAGCACTAGTTATGATTAACTTTCTTTATTGTGCAAAAAGCGTTGCCTATTTTGTATTTTGTGGAATTCGAATTTAAAACTTTTCTACAAGTCCTAAACCTAGTTAAGCATGAAGAAAAATCGCCAACTTAAATAAATTTTAATAAATAAACTAACTAAAATAATTGTCTATAAATATATTTAAATTATGTTTACTTCTTAAGAATACACTTTATATATTTTTAATTAGTTAATATTATAGACTTTGAAATCAAACTCTGATTCTACGTCTCAATTTGAATTTTTTGAATTGTCTCAAATTGAGACGTAAATTTATAAAAAAAAGGATAACAAAATTATAGAAATAAGGATATAATGAACATAATTTTATTCACTACCCCATTATCGTACCGTGGGTGTCGTAAAAGGCGTCATTTGACAAACAAATTAGGAGATGGAAAGCAACAGAAGACGCACGACAGAAGTGAAACTTTTGTATTACAGGGAAACATTTAAATTATTCATCAATGACTTTTGAATAACGTAGATTATGTATGTCATTAATTAATACATAAAATTATTTATACGCATGTGTCACAGTGCTTCATCTTCTTCGATCTTAAGAAGAAATATTATCCGTTTAGTTTGTTAATTGTCTATTATTTATATAATTTTTTTTTATTAAATCACAGTTTTATGCTATGTCAACAAAAATATTTAAAAACAAAAATTTACACATTTTTATTCCAAATAAACTAAGTAAATAATAAAATTTGACGTCTCCGTGGCACAGCAGCTTTGAATTACAACGCTAAATACCGCGGGTTCGAATCCCGCACAATACAGGTATTTGTATGGCTTAAAAATAATTTTTCCGGGTAAACATCCAGATGTTTGTGCTTGTACAATTTATGTATGTAGACAGCCTACATGATACAAGAGAAATCCTAGTGTCGAGGTTACGTTTTAAAAAAATAAGAAGAGATTTTTTTTGGTTTATGCCATCTAGCATCCACTCTTCGTACCACCTTGAGAGTCAATCATTGTTTGTTCGATAAAATGACTTTACCTATACAACATAGTAGATGGCGATATTACTGAAGTGCGCTCAATTTTACAAAAATAAATACGTGTGCCTTGGTAACTGTCTTAAATAAAATTCACATAAGATTAGTATTTCAACAAAAGACCGTTGTAATCTTGTAATTTTACTACTATATACTTTATGATATGTAATGCCTTGCGTTTGCGGCCGGCCGCTGCGTTTGCGTAAGCCCGGTACGTAGGTACGTAGTGTCATGTACTTTTCGTCATACAAGAAGGTTTCGGATCAGCATTTCAATCAAAGCCCTCCCGTAAAAAGTTTCACTTCAAAAGACTGTGGTTGCCAACCCGCTTGCCAAGCGTGGCAACTATGGCAAATATCCCCCCTATGATACAATCTATGAGGAGCCTATATGTTCAGCAGTTGACTTTAATAACCTGTAACAGTAACGGTATGTTTAAAATGTTACATCTAAGATAACAATAACATTAGAACCTCTGACTTCTAAACTAAAATAATCTATGTAATTCATAAAATAAATGTTGCACTGGTAGTAGTTTGCGGTTATGTTTGCAGATAAAAACTGAAAACGCCCATGCTTAGTGGCTGCAGGCCGCACGTATTCGGCCTCGCGCCTATAATGTTGTCAGCTAGATTTTAGGTAATTAAGTTTCGCTGCTGGTTTTATGTTTAGATATTTTCATGATATTTTTATTGATATTATCGTTTCCTTTAGCTGTACTAACATGACAGAGTGTGAATAAAGCTAATTAAACGTTGTAAAAAAATGATTTTTTTTCATCGGGATCTATTTTCTTTTTGTCCCATCATCAAAGGTATCCTTAGTACTATCGTCTGTCTTCGTTTTTGGGAGCGTTTCACAAACACCCTGATATATATACACACACACGCGCACACACGAATTGCCTAATTAAGGAGTTTTGAAAAAGACAATATTCGATACTGCACAAAACGACCCACGACCATTGATATAAGATCAGCTACATTCTTTCCTCGATTAAGAATGAAAATGCAGATACGTTATCATCCCTGAGGACTAAGATAGAATGCCTCGTTTCCAGTAAAACGTGGTCTCCGATTCTCTACACTCACCAAACTAGTTCATTTGTTTAAGTAGTCTACACAGTAGTGTTAAGCTGCTATTTTACGCCGGTATTCCGTGGGAGCGTGATCCTTGGTCAAGCCAACTCATAGGATCTACAACCATAGTTGGCTGCAGCGTGGCTCTACCACGTTATATGATTTTGTTTTATTGTCAAGAACCTTACTTATACTATTCACTTATATTACTTCGAAGTAGTTGCTGCAATAAACAATTATCAAAGGTCACGTTAGTAGAACTGTATTCAAGATCAATCTACGACGATTTCAATGGGATCAATTTTCCGAGCGTCGTTTGCTTGCGTGCGCTCGCATCATGTTAAGCATGCGAGTCGTAGTTTATGATTATGACAAACGAAACTTTTTTATTTAACTTTATCATAGATATAAGGGATACAGCCATGAGAAACTATTGTTTATTTTTTTACTAGCAAACTGATTTTTGGGGTGAATTATATGTCTGATTTCATTCATTATAGCCCATCAAAAGTACACTATTAAAAATGAACCCCATAGGCTGGCCCTCCCCTTCATATTGTAACCAAAAAACGAAACAGACCATCTTTTTTACGCCATAAAAAAACACCCACAGATTACGTTAAGAGCTCTAAAGTTACTGTAGAGAAAAAAAAGCCCCTTTTAAGAACCCGGATTCTTAATCGAGGCTAAATGAAGATGTCTATGTGCCACAGCATCCACTTACCATCAGGTAGACTGTGTGCTCTTTTGTCACACTTATTATATATATATATATATATATATATATATATATATATATATATATATATATATTAAAATATATATATATAAACAACATCGGAAGAGACTCATGATCAGTGCTGGAGATTTACGCGCTGATAAAGAAGGAGAAGAAAAAAGCATTTAAATATCATCATCATTACAGTCTATCGAAAATCCACTGCTGAACATAGGCCTCCCCATAGATTGCTGTTATATACGGATATTCGCCATTGTTACCACGCTTGGCAACAGGTTGGCAACCGATGTTTTTTCATTTTCTAGATTTTCTTCGAAAGACACTGCTGCCCATTTCCTGTTTTGTTTCACTCTTTTGACTCTGACGACACCTATTTTCGTTACCTTGACACGCGGAAAATAAGGCATTATACACTACAATAGACAGTAGGCATTTAATGCCAATAATTACTGTGTAATGATTACATTTTTATAAAAAATAATTTAAAAATAAACTATAAAATCGACTTACGTCAAACTTAGCAGGCGGTTGACCGATGGCAGATGACGAAATACTTGTCTGAGCGCTGTTAACTAACTTTCTGTACATCGCATACAGAGCTTCTAGTTCATTTCTGAAAACAAAATATGACGAATCACTCTTTGGTAGTTCCAACAGTTCGCACAATTCGTGAGTAACGTTTACGAAGTAAAGCCACGCTGTAGCTATACTAGCATACTAACAGCTATAACTGCAGAACGAATGGGTCGGCTTGACTGGTAAAACAGTAGAATAAGGCTGTTGTGTTTCATATGGTGAGAGTAACGAACAGGAGTCCCTTTTTACTGGTAACGAGGTACACTCCATCTTATTTCTTTTGATCATCAATCGATTAAAATATGTCTACGGGCTACAGCATCCACTTAGCATCAAGTAAAATGTGTGATCTTTATTCTAAAAAGGGCCGAATTTTAAATGGTCAGATAAAAGTTATCCATCTAATAAATTATAATGTAACTGAATATAAAAAAAACTAACATACACACTGATGCTAATTGAAAAATCGGCCCTAAAAAGTTAAAGTAATATGAAAGTCAACGTCCTTTAAAAAGTATTCAAATTCAAATCGTTTATTGCAAATATAGGTTGATACAAATGGTAATGCTATAGTAGGAGTGGGCTCTTTTTTTAAGGTCCCTAAGTCGTATCGGTCCGGAAAAATCTCTGGTGGTAGTCAATTCCACATGGAAGTTGTGCGAGGAAGAAAACTTCTTTTAAATCGCACAGTGGTGGACCGCCAGTCATCAAGATAGTACGGATGGTATCGCGAGTTATGTCGCGATGTGCGATGGTGAAATTGTGCGGCTAGAATTTTTCTAACAATCCTTCAGAGCACTCCCCGTGGTAGATGAGATAAAATACGCAAAACCAAACCGATCGGAAAGAGCTCGGTCGCTGATGATTCGAACAGCTTTGCGCTGGATGCGATCAAATGAAAGGAGGTACTGGTACTGGGGAGCCACAGCCCAGAGATGGAAACAGTATTCTATGTGCGGCCGAAGTTGTGGGAGGCGAGGTGGCATGAAATACTGTCCCGTTCTGCTGAGCACGCCAACCTTTTTAAAGGCCAATTTGGCCTTCTCTTCCAAGTGACCACGAAACTGTACGTCACTCGATATGTTGACGCCGAGGATTTCGATACTGGCTGAGGCAACAAGGGGAGTGCCTTGAAAGTGAGGAGTTACGACGAAGAGGTTCCTTTCAGCGATAAACGCGCAAACTTGTGTCTTCTGGGGATTGAGCTGGACTAGATTTAGTCGCCTACAGTCCGAGACTTTGTTCTTAAAAACCATTTAACCGCGCTTCAAATTGCTAACTGATTACTTGTTGTCAACCTTAAGCTTTTTAATAATAAAGTAGTATTTGAATCTTTTTAATAATAATGTAGATTGAATAGGTACATAGATCGTAACGAATTTAATATACGAAGTTTAAAAAAGTGTATTTTTTATATTTGGTAAAAAACTAATTTTGAGAACGTCAAGTATTTAGGAAATTATTTGTTGTATTTAAGTTAATATATGTTAATGCGTCATATTGTGAACTATTTGAGTGAATTTAACAACAACTTGAACAAGCAGACAGTCGGTGACGATAGTATTTCAAGGCGCCTAAGCAGATGTGGTAGAGCGATACTCCAGCTATATTAGTACTATAGTTGTAGCACGAATAGGTCGGCTCAACCGGGGAAAAACCACGCTCTCACAGAATACCAGCGTAAAATAGCAGCTTAAAGCTGTTGTGTTTCATATGGTGAGTGTAGAGAATCGGAGACCCTTTTTACTGGAAACGAGGCATTCCATCTTAGTCCTCACGGGTGACAACGCATTTACGTTATGATTCGTAATTGAGGACAGATGTAGATGTCTTTGGGGCACAGCACCCACTTACCATCAGGTGGACTGTGTGCTCGTTTGGCACCTTTCTCTTATAAAAAAGATTATATAATAATATATAGGTTCGTATCACCATGGGAGCACTTGTTTTATTATTTCCACTATTAATTCACGTGCGTAGACATAAATCACACCACTTTTACGTATCAAAATCTACTTCAAACCATTAAGTTAACAATAATACAGATGCCACCATCAATCAAGTTCCCGCCAAAAAACAAGTGTAATAGGTATTTAAAATCAATGAAATAACACGCAACTTACGATAAACACCTAAAAATAAATTAATTTTATTTAATCAACAAAACCATTCGACGTACGACTGAATAAATAAGTAAAGAAAATTTAAATTCAACATTATTTTTTAATTATTACACAATTACCGCGCAAGAAAATATTTAAAAAATACATTTCAAACTCACTTGCTGAAGTGTGTACTTTTATACAGAGACTCTAGAGTCTTTTCCTTCAATTTTCTATATGGCATTTCTATCTAGATTTGTACTCGTATGTGGAGTAACGCGTCTACCCCAATGGTAACTCCACATGTAACTGTTGAGCTGAAGGGCGGTGTAAACACAGCGGCCGATGAAGTAGTACAGATACAAACAAATGAATTTAGTAGTGTATTTTTTTTACATAGTTAAACGCAGAAAACAGTTAAAGCTAAATATATATATATATATATATATATATATATATATATATATATATATATTATATTTTGTAATGCGAAAACTTTTTTTGAAGTATTCATCAGAATATGTAAATTTTATTCTCTGACCGCATTCATTATATTTCCTCATTCTTAATCATCGCGTAAATAGCCTCTTAATCATCAAATAACCAGGGTTGCTCGCGTACTTTGTAATTTAGGGCGAGTGCTTAGCCCGCGAAGTACTACGGCTTTCTGGCATTTATACATGAATATTCCAGTAGTGAACTGCCGCAAAGTGATAATAACGAAGATGATGCAGTACAATTTTTGTATTACATTGCATTGCAGGGCAGCCCCCACTAGATGGAGTGAAGACTTGGTAATAGGCAGGAAGTCGATGGATTGTCTGATGGTCCTTGAATGAGACTTATGCTCACCAGTGTACTTCTTTTGGGCTGTAATGATGATGGTTGTTTGATTATTAAAAATAATATTTGAGTGAAAAAAATCACTCCAAATAATATATTGTACGCGGTGTGTACAAAGATATGGTGCGTGAAGATTAAGGTATGTCCTCTCCAGAACAGAAGACACTTACATCCAGCCATTCCCTTGGAATTTTATAGCCTAATGAATATGGAGTATGTATAAAATAACTTACTTGTTAAATTTAGTCGTCTTTAGCAGCAGATCAACTGTTTTTTGCTGTAGTTTGTGTGTGGGTAGGACGGGCTTGAGACGAGGTTTCCTAGGTGCGGGAGCATGTATGGCAGTGGCAGCCCGCCTCTCGGCGGCCGCCCGACCCGCGCTCAGGAACAAATGAACCCCGCGCAGAGCTATCGCACTCGCTGCCATGCTCAGTTGCTGCTTTTGTTGATGTTTCTTATTTGACGCCATCTAAATGTATGGCGAACTTCACATATCTTCGAAATATTTTAACAACAATACACAAAACATTTCTAAATCTAATATAGGTAAAATGATACATCTTTTTGTTATACTTATACTATCGTTGGTGCGCCTGTTAATGATCATGTACCTTCTGAACGACTACCGATTTTTTAATAGAATAAGGGTGACGAACGAAAACACAGTCCCCCTGCTGGTAAGTTATGTTCTAACCTGTAGGCATCTACATTTATTCTCGATTAAGAATGAAAATGTAGCTATGCGTTGTCACTCTTCAGGACTACGATGGAAAGCCTCGTCCGTAAGAAGAGTCTCCGATTCTCTACACTCATCGTAAGAAACACAGCAGCATTAAGCTGCTATTTTAAACATGCTGAACTATTCTGTGAGAGCATGGTCCTTCCCAGGTCGAGCCGACCCATTCATGCTACAACTATAATATAGCTGCAGCGTGGCTCTACCACGTTCAAAATTATGGCGACAACGTACGCTTACCATCAGTTGGACTGTGTGATAGTTTGTCACACTTATATATTCCATAAAATTAACCTTGATACACCTCATTTGTGACAAGGACAATAGAGTGAGGGGATTCCTGATCCTGATTAAGGATACACATAGACGTCAATGTGCCACAGCTTCCACGTAGTCTCAGGTGAACTCTGTCTTCATTTGTCGCCCTTACATCTATAAAATACACGACAAAATAGTGAATAATAAAAATCGAACAAAACACAGTCTCTACAGTGTACATCACTACAATATTACGAATTAAAATGTCGATAATATACACGTCTCTCATCAGTCATCAAACAAGTAAGTGTGATAGGAATAGCTTTTAGTCAAAAGGAAGTCGGTACTCCGGCACCAATCGGTGGTGCGAGGTACGGACCACGTAAACTTGGTTAAATCAATGCTATGATTGAGTGTTGCGATTATAAAGAAATTAACCACGGATAGCGTACAACTTTGGCAGTTTCTAGCCTTTGCTAAGTACTTTTACTAACTTTAATGTTATAAACTACAGAGAAAGTCGTTAGTCGGCCATTTGTTGTTAATGTTCGGATCTTTCTTTGTTTCAGTATAATATAGGCACTTTATTTTCACAATAGTTATTGGGCTTGTTTTAATAGCGTAGTAATGAGGTGGCCATAGACTCAGGCGACAGATTTTAGGTGATCGCATTTTGGGAAACAAAGCTGTTTTAAAGATGTTAGTAAAAATCTAGTTATTACTCTGTACTATTGAAATAACACTGTAAAATTAAACATTTTGAAAATAGAGGTAATATCACACATTGCCAAGGAAATATATAAAAGTAATAAGTAGGTAAATACACATATAATATTATATGGCTTTTGTAAAGTAAAAAGTATGGATTTGGCACCCGTTTTTGGCAATCTGACTGAACAGCGATACCGACGTACAATATAGACGTGTGTGACGTTATATTCATTATTCAAGTACGACAGTAGAAAGAGTACCTGATACCCGCTCGCTTCCCTGGGCGCACGATAGATAATATTTGATTGCGGAACCTAGATGTAAAATATCAAGAATTTTTTTATAGGACTATCGTAAAATCCGTTCTTAGTGAGCGTCTACATTGCGAAATGAGTAACTGTACTAGAAGTCAGTCGGAAGCATAGTTTTAAAGATCTCGTGATGAGTCAGTCAGTCTGTGGTATTTCGCTTACATACGCTTATATAGATTTACCTACATTTCATACATTACAGTTTCATTCATATTCAAATAATATAATACATAGACTATTGAAGACTTCTTCTTTTATACTTTTTAAGATATAAGCGCATATGATAGGCTGAGGAGCGTTGTTTTTGGTCCAAGCACTTCCTTTTCTGCCTTTATCCATCTAAGTGGTTGTGTCTGGAAGAAATTGTAGGGGCCCAAAAGAAAAGATGGGCGTCATTTTTAAAAGGAGTGTAGGCTTTGAAGCTTCGAAAGTTTGAAGTAGTAGGCATAGTGTAAATGCACAGTATGGAATGAGCGTAACTGCTCAGTGCTCACTGTCATGTGGTCTGTTTGTCTCTAATATTTTATAAAAAATGTTAATTATTAATTCTACCTAAATTGTAACATATTACGTTTAGATAGATAGGTGTGTTTTGACTCGTTGTTAGTAAAAAACCCCGTTCAGGTCGGTTTTACTTAGCTTAAGAAACATTTTACGACAGTATTTTCAAATATCCAGACCCAGAACAAATATTAGTAGGCCATACAAATACTTATTTCGTGCGGGATTCGAACCCGCGGTCCTCAGCGCCGTGACTCAATAATAAGCCATTGAGCCTAGGAGTCATCCCTCTTTATTCCCACTTGTATTATAGTATTTTATGGTCCCACTAAACTATTAGTTCTTTATAGTCTAAAACGCGTCATACATTATTTAGTTTCTTCACGACACTATACGCGATTTAAACAAAAACCAGTATTGTACTCACTATTCCTTTTTAAAGAGGATCGTGGGCGCTTCTGAATCGATGGCCCTTCACTACGAAGGATCACTAGCCAAAAACCTTAACGCTGGCTGTCACAGTAGCAATCCGGCCAGTCTTCCAGTTCCTAACTCGTCACGAACATTAGTTTATTCGTTTTACGCTTGCGACGTTAACACTTATGTAAATTAATTGTACCATTTGCATATATTTACGATATTGCCTATTTATCGACCGATATACATATATTTTTTAACTTAACCAATCCCAATGTTACACTGCAACCTAGCAGTCTTGTAAGTGTTACATCGGTTACGAGTAGCAGAGAAGTCCTTTCACATAGACTAGCTCGAAAGCAGAGCGAATTTGGTTACGAGTAGCAGAGGAGTCCTTTCACATAGACTAGCTCGAAAGCAGAGCGAATTTGGTTACGAGTAGCAGAGGAGTCCTTTCACATAGACTAGCTCGAAAGCAGAGCGAATGTTACAACAGAGGAGTCCTTTCACCGGCGGAATTTGGTTACGAGTAGCAGAGGAGTCCTTTCACATAGACTAGCTCGAAAGCAGAGCGAATTTGGTTACGAGTAGCAGAGGAGTCCTTTCACATAGACTAGCTCGAAAGCAGAGCGAATTTAACCAATCCCAATGTTACACTGCAACCTAGCAGTCTTGTAAGTGTTACATCGGTTACGAGTAGCAGAGAAGTCCTTTCACATAGACTAGCTCGAAAGCAGAGCGAATTTTGTTCGCATTGAAATAATTTAGGGCGTTGAAATAAGTTGCATTTAACATCTTTGTGATAAGCGAATGGCCGAGAGCCGGCTCAGTGTGCTCAATGTAAAACACTAACAGCCGTCGGTCTGCTTTGTTCACCTCCGCCTGATGGTTAGTCGACGCTATGGCCCATAGTCAATTACATTTATTTTAAGTTCCAAAGTACTGGGATATATATAGAACAGTTCTGTGTGTTGGCCCCTGATGTCTTTGATGTCTGGCGAGAGTCGGTGGAGCTGGCTTTGTTTTGCTGATTTGCATGGTTAGTGGACGCTATGGCCCATAGACAATTACATTTATCAAAGTTCCGAAGTACTGGGATATAATATATAGAACAGCTCTGTGTGTTGGCCGCTCCCGGGGTTGAACACCTTGCCCAGCGAGAGATCTCCTCCTTTCCCTTCCACGTACAAAGAACCATGTTGCAGCTATATTATGGTTGGAGCACACAGTCCACCTGATAGTAAGTGGATGCTGCGGCCCTTAGACGTCTACATCTATCCTCGATTAAGAATCAAAACGCAGATGCGGTGTCACCCCTTAGGAATAAGATGTAATGCCTAGTTATGTCAGTAAAAGGGTCTCCGGTTCTCAACACTCATTATATGAAACACAGCAGCATTAAGCTGCTATTTTACGTTGTTATTTTGTGAGCGCGTGGTCCTTCTCCAGTCGAGCCAACCTTTTCGT